CCTGAATAATCAGTAGTGGTAACCAGGTAGTACGTTCCGTGGGACTTGGGTGAGACTCTGACACCTGCTGTCTTCGGATATGATCCATTACATTCACAGCTATGGCGGCTATGAGGAGAGACTCACTCTGCTTGAGTAATGGAGAGGGAAGAATAAAGGGGACTTTGTCTGCAGCTTAGATACCAGCTCAGACATAGTGAGGAAAAGCACCAGCTGGGCCCTTGGGGTCCCCAGTTCTAGGCCTTGACTCTTGGATAGCATTTCTGGACCTACCCCAGGCTAGCAGGGAGCTCACTGAAAGCTCTGCCTGGACCTGGGGTAGGTCCTGTAGAGAGTCCCAGGACTGGCAGGATTCACCACAAGCTGACTGAAGAGTCCTTGGGCATTAAACAAACATTGGTGGCACCCTGGCAGTACTCTCTATGGGCCTGTGATGGTAGTGGACACAGGGAGAGAGTCCTCTGCCTGGGGAAAGAGGAGGGAAGAGTGGGAAGGACTTTATCTTGTGGTTTTGGTGCCAGCTTAGCTGCAGTAGAATAGAGCACCAGTTAGATTTCTAGAGTTTCTGATTGCAGGCCCTGGCTGACAGGCAGCATCTTTGGACCTGCCTGGGGCATAAGAGAACTCACTGCTCTTAAGGGAAGGATGCAAGCCTGGCAGTCTTTGCCACCTGCTAATTATAGGGCCCTAGGGCCTTGAGTAAACATAGAGAGTAGTCAGGTGGTGGTTACAGCAGCCAGTTCTGTGCTGGCTTCAAATCTGTCCAAGTGCAGTCCCAGTGGTGGTAGTGACAGGGGTGTCACCCCTCCCCAAGCAGCTCAGCCAGAGAGAGAGAGAGAGAGAGCATTCATTTGGGAGACAGGGAACAGAACAAGAGTCTGCCTGGTAATTCAGAGAATTCTTCCCGATGTGGTCTAAGACCACTAAGGTGGTACATCTGTGAATCTGCGGGAAGCACAGTATTGCTGGGCTTGGTGTGCCCCCTAAGGCACATACAGCTGCAGTGACCAAAAACATAGACCACAACACCAAGTTCTTTGAATACCTGAAAAGCCTCCCAAGAAGGATGAGTACAAACAAGCCCAGACTGCAAAGACTACAATAAACACCTAACTCTTCAATGGCCAGACACCAACAAACATCCACTAGCATCAAGACCATCCAGGAAAATAGAACCTCACCAAATGAACTAAATAAGGCACCAGGGGCCAGTCTTGGAGAATCAGAGATACGTGATCTTTCAGACAGAGAATTCAAAATAGTTGTTTAGAGGAAACTCAAATTCAAGATAGCACAGAGAAGAAATTCAAAATCCTATCAGATAAATTTAACAAACAAATTGAAAGAATTAAGAACAAGCAGAAATTCTGGAGCTGAAAAATGCAACTGACATACTGAAGAATGTATCAGAATCTCTTAATAGTAGAACTCATCAAGTAGAAGAAAGAAATAGTAAGTTTTAAGAGGCTATTTGAAAATACACAATTAGAGGTGGGAGGATGGCTTGAGCCTGGGAGGCAGAGGTTGTAGTGAGGCAAGATTGTGCCATTGTACTCCAGCCTGGATGACAGAGCCAGACACTGTCTTAAAAAAAAAAAAAAAAAAAAAAAAAAAAAAAGCAAGAAAAGCAAGCAAGCAAGCAAGAACAGTCAGGGGAGACAAAAGAAAGAATAAAAAAGAATGAAGCATGCATACAAGATCTGGAAAATAGCCTCAGTGGGGCAAATCTAAGAGTTACTGCTTTTAAAGAGGAGGTAGAGAGAGAGAGAGACAGCAGTAGAAAATTTATTTAAAGGGATAATAACAGAGAACTTCCCAAACCTAGAGAAAGATATAAATATTCAAGTACAGGAAGGTTATAGAACACCAACCAGATTTACCCCAAGAAGTCTACCTCAAGACATTAAATATCAAACTCTCAAAAGTCAAAAATAAAGAGAGGATCCTAAAAGTGGCAAGATAAAAGAAACAAATAACATAAAATGGACCTCCAATACATTTGGCAGCAGACTTTTTGGTGAAAACCTTACAGGCCAGGAGAGAGTGGCATGACATATTTGAAGTGTTCAAGGGAAAAAACTTAAATAGCATATATGGCAAAAATGTGCTTCAGGCTGGGCACAGTGGCTCACACCTGTAATCCTAGTACTTGGGAGGCCAAGGCGGGTAATTTCTATCAACTGATGAAAAGAAAACAGTACATATACACAATGGAGTACTATTCAGCCATAAGAAAGAATGAGATCCTGTCATTTACAACAACAGTGATGGGACCATAGGTCATTTTGTTAAGTGACAGAAGTCAGGCCCAGAAAGACAAACTTTGTATGTCCTTATTTGTGGGAGGTAAAAATTAAAACCATTGAACTCATGGTTAGAGTTAGAATGATGGTTATCAGGGGCTGGGCAGAGTAGTGGAGTGAGTTGGGGGAAGGGGGAGATGGTTGATGAACACAAAAGATATTTGAAAAGAACAAGACCTAGTATTTGCTAGCACAGGGTGACTACAGTAAAAAATAGTTTAATTATGCACTTTCAAATAACTGAAATAATTGGATTGTTTGTAACACAAAGGATAAAAATGCTTGAGGTGATGGATACCTCACTTACCTTGAAATACTGTGCGTTGTATGCTTGTATGAAAATATACTCCATAAATATACACATGTACTCTGTCTCCACAAAAATAAAAAATAAAAAGTTTTGCTAAGTTTAATAGTGTTTCAGAAATTTATAGAGACCCAAGAATAAATGAAAATGTGAACTAAGAGAGATATAGGTTAATAAGGAATAGAAATAAGCTGCATGAGAGATACAGGCCAGTTGCAGTGGCTCACACCTGTAATCCCAGTACTTTGGGAGGCTGAGGTGGGTGGATCACTTGAGGTCAGGAGTTTGAGACCAGCCTCACCAACATGGTGAACCCTCGTCTCTACTAAAAATACAAAAATTGCTGGGCATGGGTGGGTGCCTGTAATCCCAGCTACTTGGGAGGCTGAGGCAGGAGAATCACTTGAACCCGGGAGGTGGAGGTTTCAGTGAGCTAGGATCACACCACTGTATTCTAGCCTGGGTGACAAGAGTGAAACTCCATCTCAAAAAAAAAAAAAATACATATATAAGAATATATAAGAAATAAGGGAAATATAGGTCAAAAGCTGACAGGGTGGTTTACAGGGCCACGACAGCCAGAGGTTCTGGAAGTGCAGGTAGTGCAGACAACACTGTGAGACTGGGTGGGCAGGTGGACGGAAAAGGCAAATGTGAGTGATGGAGTGGAGCCCACCTGCTGGAGAACTTCTTGGGCTCCACTCACAACTGTCTATTCTGCTGGCAGGCCAAGTGACAGTGTAAACCGGGCAGCTGGGTTCATGTGGCTTCACCTTTTGCTGCTGGCATCTGTTCAGGTGGGCTCTCGGGAGTTGATGAGGTGGTGATCGAGCAGCCAGGATTCAGTGTGGCGGGTTTGTCCTGTCACCTGCCAGAGAAGATGGTGGTGGGAGGTGGCGCTTGCAGAACTCTTAGGAGCACGGAAGAAGGAGGAGGAGGAACATCAAGCCTTCTGGCTTGAGTGCCTCCTGTGTGTGGTAGAATGATCTAGATCCTGTGAGGGGCACACGGAGCAACAGGAAGAACTTGTAAGACGGGTGGAAAGAGCACAGTCATCTGGTATCACGTGTGAAGCTGGGGCTATGTATAGGCCATACTTCTCATCTTCTGGAATAGTGTTAGACAAGAAAGCCACCTCAGGATCCCATTAGTACTCGTCTGCTCTAATTGCGGGTTGAGTGATCTCTTCTTCCCTTGTTGGTTGCTATGAAGGAATGAGGATGCGTTTATAGTGGAAAGACTGAGGGTCTCAGAGTCTGGAGGCCAGAGTCAAGTTCTGACTGCATTTATTATCTGTGTGACTTGGTGCAAGTAACCTGAGTGTCTGTGTCCTTATTTGTAATTTGGAGGCTATAATAGTGACGTCTGCCTCACAGAAGTCCTAGGTTGTCATGGGAATCAGTGTGCGTATGTGACAGTGTTTCATAAATTACAAAGCTCTGCCGTAGCTGATGATACCTCTAGACTTCTAAGTGCTCTGAGGAAAGTGTACCTGGTTACTCCGTATACTTCTTTTTTTTTTTGAGATGGAGTTTTGCTCTTGTTACCCAGGCTGGAGTGCAATGGCGCGATCTCGGCTCACCACAACCTCCGCCTCCCGGGTTCAGGCAATTCTCCTGCCTCAGCCTCCTGAGTAGCTGGGATTACAGGCACACGCCACCATGCCCAGCTAATGTTTTGTATTTTTAGTAGAGGCGGAATTTCACCATGTTGACCAGGATGGTCTTGATCTCTTGACCTCGTGATCCACCCGCCTCGGCCTCCCAAAGTGCTGGGATTACAGGCTTGAGCCACCGCGCCCGGCTACTCCGTATACTTCTTACAGTGCCTCCAAAGTGTCAGTGATACTCAAAAAATGCTGGCTGAATTGAATGAGTTTACTGTAGCACTGAGCATTTTCCGGGTTTCATTTTCCAGTGGCCAGACCGTCTCCTTGTTGAGGCTGTTGGATCGGGGAGGTAGAGCAGGGTTATCGGACTGGTCTGTGGAACAGATGCAGTGGCTGGCGCAGTGTTAGCCATGCAACATGATGCGGATCACACATTCTCAGACAGTTTACCATCGCTGGGCACAGAGCTACCTTCAGGGAGGTCCAGCTTGAAGACATTTCCTGTCTTCCCACTTCTCTCCCACTGCACACCCCATACATGCGTGCCTGCACGCCACTCCTTCACACAGTGTCCCTGTCCCCTTAGTGCAGCCTCAACTCTGACTCCTGGTTCTCATTTCCTTAATTCTCTGTTGCTACCCCTGGCCCCATTTCCTGCATATGGACCCTGGAGAGGCACTGTCTGCCTCTGCCTCTGCCTCTGTGGGCTGGGTATTGGGTGTCGAGCTTGCAGTGAAAAGAACTGGTCTGCTGAGTCTTGGTTTTCTTGCACCTGCTACAGGTCATCTTCCACGATGTTGCTGTGCTGACAGACAAGCTCTTCCCCGTCGTGGAGGCCATGCAGAAGCACTTCAGCGCTGGCTCGGGGACCTACTACAGCGACTCCATCTTCTTCCTCTCAGTGGCCATGCATCAGATCATGCCCAAAGGTAACCTGGGCTTCCAGGAGCAGCAGCCCCTGGGTGTCTGGCTTTTGCATTCATTTCCCTGGTTCCAACACTGCCTATGCCCTGTATCAGAGAGAATAGCTTCACTGCACATGAGAGAGGGGATGAGGGAGCCAGCCAAGCCCTTTGTACCGCAGAGCTTCCTACACCAAGAATCAACTCACAGTTCAGCATGGCTGGGGAAGCCTCAGGAAACTTACAGCCATCGAATGGGAAGCAAACACGTCCTTCTTCACATAGCGGCAGCAAGGAGAAGTGCCAAGCAAAAGGGGCAAAAGCCCCGTATAAAACCATCAGATCTCATGAGCATGAGAACAGCGTGAGGGTAACTGCCTCCATGATTAAATTATTCCCACCAGGTTCCCACACCCCCACCACAAATGGGAAATTTGGGAACTACAATTCAAGATGAGATTTGGGTGGGGACACAGCCAAACCATATCAATCAGTTTCTGGCCACAGTGAGCCATGACCTGAGTTTCTTAGGGGTGAGAAGAGGTGTTTGGAGCTTTGGAGTAGCAGTTATCTGAACTGTGGCTGGTTGGCTTTTACAGACCAGGCAGATCCTGGTAGCTCAGGTGACAGCTGGGCCATATGGTGAAGGCCTGCTCCTCTGCCCCAGCAGAGAGAAGTGCAAAAGAAGGTGCCTGGTGAACCAGGAACTCAGGAGTTAAGAGTGGAAGCCCAGTTCCTGTTGGCAGGTTGTCCTACTGCAGGGAAAAGCAAGCCTACCCATTCTTGCTGGGACTTGGCCGGCAAGTTCCAGTACCATGGAGGCCTCTGAATGTCCTCTTTGTTGTGAGGCGAGGGCTCGGGGCTCCATTGGGTGGGAGGCTGAAGAACACAGGAGATGAGCTCACTGACAGGGTCTAGGGTGAAGAGCTAGCATTGGTGATCCTTTGCAGCTCTGTCAGCTCACCCAGCGCTTCTACCTGTCCTGTGGGGTTACAGGTAAAGCCGAGGCATTGCAAGACCTGCCCAGGGCTATGCAGCCTTTTAAGTGGCAGAGCCAAGGTTGGAACCTGCTTCTCCAAACAGTTACTTCTACCCCATCAGGTGCCCTGTACGTGATCTCTTGGACAGGCCCAGTACAGGGGCTGTGGGTGGCTCAGACTTGAGAAGGTTGTGGTTCTGTTTTAGACTGTAGCACGCAAACAGATGTGGGTGTTGCTCATGGCTGAGCCACTTTGTCTGTCTTGGCCTCCTCAGTTTCCCCACCTGTAGAATGAGGGGCTGCAGCAGTGAGCTGTTTCAATTTGCATTCTGAAGAGCCCAGGGCTTGTAGGACTCCCCCTCGGGTTTCTGTATTCTAGGGAGCCAGGGGGAGGCAGCATACCTGACCTCCCTTCACCTCCCTCCCTCCTGCCTCTTTCCCTCTGTCAGCTGTTAGGTCTCTGCCCATCGTGTGCTCAACTCTGGGCCAGGTTGCGCTTTGGAGTAACCCAGAGGAAGGGGAAACACAGCTCCTGTGGTTTGTCAGGAAAGAGAAAATACTTCTGCCTTCAGCTATAGGAGAGCCAGGCAATGAATTGTGTAGGGACCGATGACAAGAATTAGGGAGCTCCCAGGCTGCTCTGGGAGAGGGTGAGAATGACACCAGGAAGGTGCTCTGGCCATCTCTGATTCAGCCCTGCCCAAGAGCCTGGCATAGCTCACGGGGGTGATGTCTGCAGAGAAAAGACTTTGGCCAGAGCTTTGCAGTTGATGCAGTAAATGGATGCGATTATTGGTGGCCCTCCAGGCGTGGACCCCGCCCTCCGAGGGGCTTGCTTCTGGTGCTGGGGAAGGAGTTATTTTAGATGTGCCTCCAGCAAACACCAGTCTTTTCTTGGGTTCTTTAGGGGAGTGATAATGTGCTTTCAGCAATGTATTTTTACACATGGCCCAAATCCTCTTCCTAAGAAAAGAGTTATTAGGAGTTACTAAAATTTGATAGTCATAAAATAAAATGAGCAGTCCTTGAGTTTCCTGTGGCGTCTGGGGCGTGTCCTGCCAGGAAGTCTGGCCTGGCACACTTGGCAGCACTGGGGAGTTCCTACCGCGCAGATCATTTGGAATTCCTGCAATTTTTGGAAGGACACTTTGTTTTCAGACTTGATTTATGCTGTCCTGAGTTTGTCGTGATTCTTAACTGCTGCCTTGTTTGCATTCATTGTTTCTTAATCATAGAAATGAGTGTTGTTTTGTGCTTTGGTTGATGGTTTTGTTCTGGTGTAATTGCTGCATTCTTCCTACTTTGGCTGTTCTCTTTCACAGCATTTTTCTCCAGGAAAGTGAGGATGGGGTGTGGGTGGAGCCTGAGCCCTTGGTCTCACCCAGGAGGGCTAGGCCAGAAAAACCTGGGCTCCTTTGAGTTCCTCCTGGGGGTGCTGTCTGGTGTTTGCCCCAGAAATCCATAAAAAAAAAAAGGATATCTGAAAACATCCTTAAAGTAGAAAAAAGTGATCTCTTTGCTGCTATATAAATATCATTATTATTATTATTTTTATTTTTGAGATGGAGTTTCTCTCTTATCGCCCAGACTGGAGTGCAATGGTGCGATCTTAGCTCACTGCAACCTCCGCCTCCTGGGTTCAAGAGATTATCCTGCCTCAGCCTCCCTAGTAGCTGGGATTACAGGCATGCACCACCACACCCAGGTAATTTTTATGTTTTTAGTAGAGATGAGGTTTCACCACATTGGCCAGGCTGGCCTCAGACTCCTGGACCTCAGGTGAGCTGCCCGCTTTGGCCTTGCAAAGTGCTGGGATTACAGGCATGAGCCACCACGCCCAGCCATCATTAATTCTTTATCTTCTTTATATTCCCAACATGCAGCTTTTTAAAACTTTAGATAAAGTAGGAGTTATGCTGTATATTCAAATCATTTCCAGTCTTTTTTTATAGATCAAGATTTGAAATTGAATCTTCATTTCAACGCCCCCAGCATGAAAGAAATTGTACAAATGAAACTATGTCATGATTTTTTCAGTTAATGGCTCACGTCCCCATTTTCTGTATAATTACAATCTTTGAAAATGTTTCGAATGGTTTTATTGAGTAGATGAACCTCAGTTCACTTTCTCATTTCCCTGTTCTTAGCGAGCTAGATGCTTTCTGTTTTCTCTTATATCATAAACTATGTGATGGATATCCATATGCACACAGATTATTTTCTCTAATTAGGATTCTTTCCTATGATAACTCCCAAGGGTGTAATTAGTGGGCCAGAGGTGACCCTTTTAAGGCCAGGGTGTGTCAACCCCCAGCTGCCCAGGCTATCCACTCACACAGGTGAGGCTCAGTTTTCAAGCCTGCTAGTGTCTGCACAGTTCTAAGCCTGTTAGCGTCTGACTTCTCACGTGGACCACCTCAGGCCGCCACATAAGAACTTTTTGAGACAGTGGCTGTCCCCACTGGACAGGGAAGGAAAGGAAGGAGCTGAGAAGTTAGGCCACTTCTCCGAGTTCTGCAGTGATCTGCGTCCTCCCTGCCGCTTGGAGTTCTCAGTCTGAAGCTTATGCCCATTCTGATGTCCGGACCTGGACACCCAGCCTTGTACACATGCACAGCCCCGTGAAGCTTACAGGACTTGGCCTCCTTGCCTGCCTTCTGGGCCCCATGTCACGCCCTGCAGAGGGGACCTGGCTGGGAAGGTGTTGGGCTGGTCACACCCATGCATTTTGTCGTGGTCGCCCCCTTGGAGCAGCACTGCCCAGAACCCCATCTGAGCAGGGGCCTCAGGAAGAACCAAGGGGTCCTGCCAGGAAGGACATGCTGGCTGGGATTTTGGTCAGAGCTTGTTTTTCTCTTTGCTGCTTGTTGGGGGTCACATGCAGATTGACCTGGCTGGCCCCGTGGCTCACACTTGCCTGCCTATGTGCCCTCCACAGAGACACAGGCACTCCCTGCTCTTCACCCACATCCACGGGGCTTTGATTTCCGTTTGTCTGTGGTGTTGAGTTTGTCGCCACTGGAAGCATCTTATGCAATGGAAAAGAAAACATTTTTTGCCCCACTGGAGCTGGAGAGAGCCAAGGGCAACTCCTCCAGGACTGCCAGCTTCCCCCTCCTATGTCACACGGCCTGAAGCGCTGTCGGCTCCAGCCCAGCAGCATGGGCTGTGCATGCTCTGTGGTCATGGTGGGTTCTCTCTGAGCAGGGCAGGCAGGGCCCTAGGCTGGCCAGAGGTCCCTCAGGAGACTCTCCTGTCATCCCCATGCATCCCTGGAAGGTGATCCTGTCCTGCGGTTAATCCTTTGTCAGTCGCCAGCCTATGCTAAGCACTGCTGTTTGCAGGACATGGTGCTGGCCACCCTGGGTGTCTCAGAGGTGTTTGCTGGGCTGCCGCTACATGGGCTCATGTCAGTGGGGCAGGTGGCATGGTCCAGCAATGAGGGCAAACAACATGAAGAGCCATTCAGTGCTGAGGGCTTCAGAAGAGGACAGGTCACAGGCATTTGCAGGAAGAAGGAAGGCTTCCGGAGGAGGTGGCTGTGAAATTTTCTCCAAGTTGCCTTGTTTTTGATGACCTTGACAGTTTCGAGAAATGCTGGTCAGCTGTTTTGCAGAGCGTTTCCCACTTTGGATTTATATGATGTTCTTCTCATCAGACTGGGCTTATGGTATTTTGGGAAGTTATGGGAGGAACACGCAGAGGAGATGTGCTGTTTCCCTCACATCATATCAGTGACACATCACATCATATCAAGGGTGCATGGTTGATCACTGTTCCTGTTGATCTTGATCATGGGGCTGAAGAAGTGTTTGTCAGGTTTCTCCATTGTAAATTACTCTTTTCCCCCTTGCTGTATTATACTCTTTGGAAGGAAGTCACTATGTGTGGTCCATGTATAAAGAACGTGGATAGTCACTTTTCAAAGGTCACATGTCCCTTGCCTGGGCCCCATCACACACGTCCTGCTGGTAGTGTCTGCCTCCTTACAAGTGCCGCTGGCCATGGCCGTGGGAGCCCAGAGATTTTGAAGGACTGCTTCACCATT